TCTGACGGAAAGGGCCACTTTTGTTTGAAATGTTTGAGAAAGTCGCAATGAGTGCAGGGCGAGAGATGTCTCAGGGTGGGTGGCTGTTGGCTCTGATCAAGTCAAGGGTCACGGCCTGGTGGATTTAGTGGAGATTTTGCTTGTAGGCGTGCGAGGGATGCCGTGCCTATTGAAGGAGGGCTGGTAAATGCCTTCGGACCCCTGCGTATCGCGCAGTGGGCCTGTGATTTTGTTTTGCGACGCCCCGTCTAACCACCGGTGCTAATTCTGGGACATTTGAAGAAAGGTCAAGCTAACGGAAAAGAAGTTAGTACCTCTAGGGCTTAACCCCATTGGATGGCTGCTAGCCTGCGCAACCTGGCTGCGGGACCGCGAGGTAAGAGTTTAAGGGGGGTTGCCCGCCCCAGTGAAATTACTCCGCGGGATAATGATGGTTGAAAACTTTTGGGGGGAAATCCTGATTGAGTGCTTACCAGTAAGTAACCTATCGTTGCGTAACCAACGAAGGTACTGCCGTTAAATAACAATGCGGTGGGCCGTGGTCCTGGTCCGATCAGCTAGGCTATGGTGGGCCAAGGTGGAGACCTAGCCTTTCTGTACTAGACTGCAGAAAAGAGCTGAGCGAATATTAAGTATACATATATACTTGCGTGTATTTGATTGCGAGAAATTTTTGAGAAGGAAGGCGAGAGTGCTTTCAAAAGGTCTCGATTAAGGCCCGCGTCCCTAGTTTTTGCCAAGACTAGGGACACCCAACGAAAAGCCGAAGGTTGTCTAGGACCGGGGAGAGGACGATTGGGAAGGTCTTTGGAAATTATGCTGCCAGTATCCTAATTTCTGGACGGTGTGAGGCCCAGGTTAGAAACCTGACAGCATATAGTTGTGAAGACATGGTTTGATGGAGGCCTCTACCCTGTGTTTGTCGGCTAATCGGATTGGCTCTTGTTTCGTCAGCATTTGGAATGTGAATGGATTTATAGCTTTTTGATGTGGCGAAGCGACAGGGACGTCGCTTAATATGGTCCGGTAAGTTGTCGGTGCGAATACCCTTACAAGGGTATCCGCCGTGGTTTTTGCGAGTGACAGAAAATAGTTGTAATCTAGAGTTTAAGTATACCGGGCTAAGCGCGGTTGCGTCTGTAATTGCGTTGACTAGGTGGTTGACCACAATAGCGAGTGCGTGGGCACGCAGGTTTAAGGCGCGCGTGATTCTTTTCTGATATTGATTGTAAGGCCGATCCGGACCTCGCTCGTTTTGCTTATTGTTATTTTTTATTTATTTTTGATTAAGCAGAAATTAAGGATATTTTCTTTTGATTGGTACTTATATAAGCAAGCCGGCGCAGGCAAATGGGGGGCCGCGCAACCGTTTTGTTGGCCCAAAGCGCCGTGCCGCACCGTCTCGTATGGTACTCTGCGGGCACTAATCTCAGGCTTGGGCATAGCCCTATAGGTTACGACAGCGGGCTGTTACTATGGAGGTTCGGGGATCGAGGCCAGCAGGCGTCGGCGCGCCGGCAGCCGAGTAGCATGGAGCGAAAACCTGAGGGGTTGAGGGCCCTGTGGGGCTATCCCCCTCGGTTTTGCCTATGGGTGTGGCGGCAGTTTCAATCCGCGGGGCTTGCACTGTACCAGCGATCCCGCGACTCCCCGACGTTACTGTTATTTTATTTTATTTCCCTTTTGTCTATTGTTCTGGGTCCCTTTTCTATCGCGTCCAGTTTTGGGACGTGGGATTGCGATAGGAGCGCGTGGAGGTGTTGTACTTGCGGGGTCGCCTAAAGTGCAATTACAAACTGTTTTCGTAGTTACGCCGGGGCGCTGTCCTCAATTGAGGCCCTTCAGGACATCTGTTAAGGTAGGAATGGCGTGGGAAAGGTTCGTGCAGCCACTACGTAGGGATGACGCAGTAAAATCCGGGAATGAAMCCGGATGCCGACCGGGCCGGGTGCGTGCGCAGTGGGCTGGAGTTGGCACCAACAGAAGCAAGGCACGGCTGATGCGCAGATCATTCGTCGGACTTTGGGGTTTAGAGGTAAAGGCTAATTGAACCGCCTAGTAGCCAGCCTCCTCCGGAGTTTCCCGAAGGATAGCTGGAGCTGTCAGGGGTCGCTTTCTCACCGTGTCGGACTACGCAGCGACGGGCGGCACCAGAAGGGAGCATCGATCACTACTCCTTGTGGTGTTAGACTTAGCGCGCTATAGTAAAGCAGGGGCGCCCGGAGGCACCGCTACACTACAGGGAGGACTGAATCACTACCCGGGTGTAGAACTAGTGGAAGCACCACGGGCCACAGTGAGTACCAAGGGCCGATGGACAGGCTACGGTAGGAGGTAAGAGCGGAGTACGAGTGTAGTCTAGTACGAACGAACCCGGATGGGTTCCTGCGTCGGGTACGTGTAGAAACGGAGCGGGGTAGAGGCCGGCGAGGAGGGGGCTGGCAGTACACGGATGGGCAGAACCGCCCGTAGGATCTGGGTATAGGGGCAAAAGACTAATCGAACCGGCTAAAAGCCGGATCCTCCCGAGGGTTCTCCGCGGGCTGGCCAGATAGCGCTGCGCTGCGCTGCACTGCAGAGGAAGGACGGGTGTCGTGAGAGCGAGGCGGAGCAACAGGAGGGAGCAACGGGCATGCCGGACAGTGCTGTGCAACAGCGGGCGGAGTGTTGAGGCGGTGTGGCGAAGTGGAGACGAGGTAGAGCAGTAGGCTGACTGGACAGCGGGCCAACCTGAAGGTCGAGTGCAGGGGCACGAACGGGGAGCAGAGCAGAGCATCGAAGGGGTGAACCCGGCGCGATTTCGCACCAGATACGTGCAGCAAGAGAAATGGCAGAAGTTGGTCATGGCGGAGAGGAAGTACGTCTTCCACACCCTATCCTTGGCGGAATCAAGCGGGGGAAGATGCTAGTTTGATGCTTTTAGGCCGGGCGAATCACATAGAGAGGTTAGTTGTAGGAGAGAGTGAGTAGAATTAGTGTTAGAAGGAGAAAGGACTGCGCGGAGGCTATGGCGGAGGTGAGGGAGGAAGAGACGAAGAAATGAATATCTCGCTCGTTTCCGATCGGATTCGAGCGAGGGAAGATGATATCCCCGGGTTTTGACCCCGGGCGAAT